TATACTTATCATATTTTTTGGAACAAATTACGCAATATTATTCTTAAAAATGATACTCTGATTTTAAATAAAGCATAAACAAATCGATTTTTCCTAGCCGTGAAATTGGGGATGTCACATGTAGGAGGATGGGTAACACAAAGGAGGGGAGGGGAGGGGAGGGGAACGAGTGTTCCCACTCACTTTATTATTTATCATAATTGGTCGCTACATTTATAAGAACCGGACAAAATATCATAAAAGACCAAAATATGGGTGTAATTATCTTTTTACAGCATTTAACAATTGAAAATTGATGGAGTTAATCTTAAGGACCATGCCTGCAACTTTTGAAAACCACAAAGATGAACCATCCCAAAAAACAAAAAATTAAACTAAATTGTTATTGAATGTGAACCATATATACCAAAATTTTAATTTACTCTTTTAAATATAACAAAAAGAATAAAGGATGAGAGATTGGTTGCATAGGGGTGTTCTTTAAAAAAAAGTATGACAAATCTTAAAAGGCATGTTATTATGCGCGCCAGTAACGCATATAAAGAAAATTTTACTTTATTGTTTGGGAAAATTCCACAAATATCATTAAGTTTACACAAAATTTTGAGACACTGTGTTATTTTTTTCTCAGTTAAGACACTTTGGTTACCAATTTGTTTTAATATTGACAATTTATCCGGTTACTCGGTTGTCAACTGATGTGACAATCTTTGATAACGTGTCAGCTAACATTGCGTAATGACGTGTCGCTCTTTGTTGAAATCATATTATGGGTTTCAAAATAGGAAAATAAAATAAAATATAGCGACTTTTTATGATAGATATCCAAAATGCAGTGACTTTTATGCAATTTCATATTAACATAAAAGTAATAGACGTATGTAGTATTGTTTTTCATACAATCTTTTAATTCTATTTAATCATACGTGAAGGGGTAGGAATATATATATATATATATATATATATATATATATATATATATATATATATATTATTAGCACTAGAATAGACAAGTAATCTCCTTTTTAATGATTAATTAAGATTATGTTTTTAGAAAAGTAAAACATACCTAATCATGGAATTGTGATGATTTCGATGTTGCAAAAAACCCATACCTAGTATTGCTTTTCTCTTCTCCATGAGGTCTTTTATAACACAAATGTTAAAACATAGTCTCAACATATAGCTCTTGCCAAATAATCTTATTCTCTAGATACACAAATGTTCTACCACTTGATTTGAGAGATATAAAATCGGACACATTGGGCCATCTAAACATCGCCAATCTCTATTTCTTTTTGCAAAATTAACGTCTAATCTATAACCTCATAGCTCCTTATAATCTATAAAATACCTTAAGTAATTAGGAACCAAACCTTGTTAGCTTATACCCTTTTCAATTTCTTCCTTTCTAGGTACTATAGGAACTAATCGGAGGGTCTCTCTTTGTTATACATGAATCTCCATCACAACCACATATGCACACCAAAATATTCCATGGGGTCTCTTTTCTTGTCTCATAATGCATGAACATAAACGAAATCACGTCCACATAGCATACTGAAAGAAAGTTTATAATATATTATTTCTTTTTTGGAGTTCCCTGGAAAATAACACCACCAACAACCCATGGAAGATGTGTTATCATATATATATATATATATATATATATATATATATATATATATATATATATATATATATATATATATATATATATAGGATATCACATCTTCCATGGGTTGTTGGTGGTGTTATATATATATATATATATATATATATGTGTGTGTGTGTGTGTGTGTATACTGCCCCTCCCCTTTTGCAAGAGTCTACGTTTGAAGCTCCACAATTGCAAATAAGAAGACTAATATATGTGTATGTGGTCAGCCTATTTGAAACTTATCAAAAGTATTATTGCACCAAACACATACACCATTGGTTGACATCGCCACTCTTGACCTAGGCAAATTTCGTTTTTAGCACCTTCTTTCCAGGTCATGTATTTTCTCCTTCTAATATCAAGGCCCTTCACCATGAAAATCACCACAATATGTCGATCATGTTTAACTTTTGATGCAACCCTTACTAATACAAATTTCGTTTTTAACACATTCTTTCCAGGTCAAGGATTTTCTCCTTCTAATATCAAGGCACTTCACCATGAAAATCACCACAATATGTCGATCATGTTTAACTTTTGATGCAACCCCTACTAATACAACTTCCCTTATCTCTCGTTGTTTTCCTTGTGCCCTTTACGGCACACCTAACTCACGGACACGAAACCCTATCATCTTGTGTCCCTTGTCTTTTTCTTTGGTTGTCACTATCTAGTTAATCAGAGAATATATGATAATACTAAATTGCACAAAAATCACTACATTTTGAAAAAATTTGTCACAAAAGTCATTATATTTTAGTTTTTTTTCTTTCAATTTTGATACCTAGAATGTGATATCACCAAAAGTGATACGTCGTCATATCACATAATCAAAACTGACATGTCAGCAGACATACTGGTTGATCAGTTAAGTTGTCAGAATTGTAATAAAGTGGTAAATTGAATGTCTAATTTGAGACTATAATAACGCAATGTCAAAATCGAATTTTAGTTTAAACTTTAGTGATTTTTGTGGAATTTGCCCTTGTTTCGACTTAAACAGAAATGTATTCCTATGATTTTTGTTTTCATAAATGAATTTGTATCTACTTGCTAAAGACTTAAAATTAGATCATGGCAATAAGTGTAATTAAAGTTTTTTTTTGAGAAAATACAGCATCAAGGATTTACGCAAAACTGTAGAAGTATTGTCCGTAATATGAGAGTGAAGTTGATTTAAAAATTTTAAGCGAATATTTCAAAAAGTTGTGTGAAAAATATATTCTACATACATATACAAAAGGACAACAATATTATCAACTTGACATCTGTCCACCATTGAAAACGTCAAGTGAAGTTACAACTCCATGATGAGTAGTTTTCACTTTTCAGTCAGGAGCATGTGGTTGACGAATGTTTCTTTGTTTGAAAGATATGGATAAAAGGGTTTCACTGTTAACAATTTTTAGTGAAGTAAGCTTGTAGACTAGACATCTGGTTTTGGGTATTGAGCACTTAGAAAGAATGCTTTCCACTATTAATTAAGAATCTGAAGTGTAAAACTGAATTGTCATGTATAGAATAGTTTTTCAAATTAGTGAGATATTGAAAGTTATCTCTTTATTTGTTCTTCGGCATAGTTCTTATCTAGTGGAAGTTGAAAGCTCATCGATCATGTTATTCGAGCGATAAATTTCTTCTTGATTGATCCTTTTTATCTTCACATATATATTCGATTTATTCTAACTAATCATTTTCTTCAATTTATACACTCCTCTATAGTTTTCAATCTTTTCGTTGTAATCTTAATCCACACATTCAATTTGTGCGAACTAAAAATACCAACGTTGAACAAAAAAACTTAAAATCTTTCAACACCTAATAGTTATAATATTTCCTTCATCATAGATCTTTCCCACTCCAGAAGGATGTAGTAGTTTCTTTTATAAGAGTTATAATTTATCAAAGACTAGTTATACAAAAGTTTCATTAGAAAATTCACACAATCCGTAAACATGTGTATAAGCTTAAAAGATAAACTACAAATCTAGGTATCTTATCTAACTTGACAAATACTATATATGTTGTCGACAATTATAAAAACAAGTAGAATAGAAATTAATGAACCAAAATAGAAGACACATGCTTAACTTTTAATAGTAGAAAGTAAGATGTAACATATATATAACAAGACGTACAAATTATAAGGCATGAATTTCCATGGGAAGCCATTCAGGGAGAATATGTCAAGGATTGTTAGTTGGGAATCATTTCTTAAATTTTTCACAAAAGACTATTGTGATGGAAAGCCAAAATGGTGTTAGTTAACATGATGTCGTTACATGTTGATTAAAGCCACTCTCAATGGGCTAGGAGTTTACTTAGTGGAGTTTCCGCACAACAAAAGAGGGCATCATCTAAATCTGCTATAACATACATATATATCATGGTTGTTTTTATTTGTTGAAGGTTTTAGGTACTGATTTATGAAATAATCATTCTTTTTGTAATATCAACAAGTAATATCTAATATGTTCTTGTATTAGTATCTCTTCCTCTATTGTTACTCCTTTTATTGGATTTTCACCTGTGGCCTCTATACTCAACTTACTACTGAAATATTAATTCCTCTACATTCAGGGGGCGATCCATAAATTTTTCGAAGAGAGAGCAGTGAAGATTATAAAATTGTCTGAACTTTATCATCAAATTTATTTTTAACTGATATCAATGTGGATAGTATCAAATTAAATTCGTTTACGTAACAAGTCACCAGCATTTCTTCCTTCATCTTCATATTCACCAATTGTCTAATTAAGAAAACCTTATTCGTTACCGTATTTTCCAAAATAATACTATATGTATTTTCATCTAACTAGAACCATATGTTCTATATGTATTTTCCAAAATCCAAAACCACGGCTTTCAAATTTATCGATTTTAATTAACCTTTCCATTATCAGCAAAGCCGGTGAATGAAGGGAGGCCAGGTCATATGATTGTCAACAGTCATTTAAAATTAAAAAAAAAAAAAACTTTTTTTTTTCTCTTTTAAAATGAAGGATGAAGTATGACATGGCCATATAATGTGGAAAAAAAATGGTATGAAAAGGGTGGCACATATCAACCAGCAATATTGAATTAAAGATATGGTCAGCGTCGACTTTTCGATTAATGCTCAACCCTCACTTCAAAACTGGATTCAGCTGTAAGTATGGGGTTCCATGGGTAAATCAAACTTACAATTATTATTTTCAGCTGTTGCCCAAGCATGCAGCCTAAAAGCTGGTCGGTAGACCACTAAAACAGTAGTGGGTTTACCTTCATTCGGAATATATAATTATATACAGATGTCTCCATCAGAATAATTTGAAGTTTATGAAAGCCTAACATTGCATCTAACTAAAACCATATGTTCTTTTGGTCGTGGTCCTTCTTCTACCTATCAAACGAGCTGAAAATCATCTAAGCTCCTTATATACAGAGTTCACCCAAAACACTTCAAAGAAACATTAATGGCTTCACCAACTCCAGCTGCGCATCACCCACTTAGCATTGACATGTCCGATCTTCAGCAAAAGCAGAGTACTGAACAAGAGTTTCACTTAAAGAACCAGAGTGCCAAATGGGTTCTTAATTCACCAGATCCTCCTGGATTTGGCCAACACATGTTTGACATGATAAAAAAGAACGTATGCCCTCAAAGAAACAGTATACCTTCGTCAGCATCATTGTCTCCGAAGAAGCAGCCACTTTCCTCGCACGTCATTGCGCTTTTGACTTGCGTATTTCCTGTACTTGACTGGGGTAGAAACTACAAAGCTTCGAAATTCAAGAAGGACTTGATTGCTGGGTTGACTCTTGCTAGCTTAAGCATTCCTCAGGCACATTTCTCAATATTTCTCACCCTATAATCCACTCATTAACACATTAAAAGTGATTATTATTCTAAAACTTTTTCTCTGATTCCTTTCAGAGTATTGGTTATGCTGCTTTAGCTAATCTAGATCCTCAATACGGCCTATGTAAGTTAACAAATCTAGTTTTTTCTTACTTTTTCAACACTTTATATATGCTTATTGTGATTGTTTTGGATGTGTTCATAGATGGAAGTGTTGTCCCTCCTTTGATATATTCTGTAATGGGGACTTCTCGAGAATTAGCTATTGGTCCAGTAGCTGTGGTGTCGCTTCTGATATCTTCGATGATCTCAAAACTAGTTGATCCCACAGTTGATCCTGTATCCTACAGAAAACTTGTTTTCACAACCACGTTCTTTGCGGGATGTTTTCAAGCACTTTTTGGATTGCTTAGGTACTATTTATCCATGAAGAAAAATACAACTTTTTCTTTTTGTTGTTGTTTCTGATCATCAAACTCATTGGGTGCGTGCATGCAGGTTAGGTTTTCTTATTGATTTTCTATCGCATGCCGCCATTGTAGGGTTCATGGCAGGTGCAGCCATTGTTATAGGTCTTCAACAACTCAAGAGTTTACTCGGGATTAGTCATTTTACTACTAAAACTGATGTCTTGTCTGTCTTAGAAGCCGTTGCTAAATCATTTCATACTACAGTACGATGATCGATATTGCTTCAACTTCAACTTCATGTTCAATTTTTCATTTTTGATTTCGTTTACAACTTAATTAATATGAGACTATTTTCATGTTTGCAGTGGTATCCTTTGAATTTTGTTCTTGGATGTTCCTTCCTTATTTTCATCCTCATTACCAGATTTATCGTAAGTAAATCAGCTTTATTCCTACCTGAACATTCGTCATATATATACTTAATTTCTTACTACTAATCAAATGATTGACTTGGTCAAATTTCAGGGAAAAAGGAACACGAAGTTATTCTGGTTACCCGCCATTTCTCCAGTTATATCGGTCATATTATCCACTTTGATAGTATATTTAACAAGAGCAGATGAACATGGGATTAAAATCATTAAGCATTTCAAAGGAGGATTAAATCCAAGTTCAGTCAGCCAATTGGAGTTCAATGGTCCACACCTCGGTGAAACAGCCAAAATTGGTTTCGTTTGTGCCATTATTGCCTTAACGGTGATTGTCTACTTTATAATAGAGACTCCATTAAAGGTACGGATATGGATTTTTCTGATACTTGTTAATTTTTTTACAGGAAGCTGTTGCTGTTGGTCGATCTTTTGCTTCCATTAATGGGTATAATCTAGATGGTAACAAGGAAATGCTCGCAATGGGCTGCATGAACATCGCTGGATCTATGTCTTCTTGCTATGTTGCCACTGGTATAGCGATATATATAAATAATTAACAACTTTTGCACTTGCTCAACTGCCATGTTTGATCATTTTAAAACCATGTGTTATCAGAATTGACATTTTTTTCTTGTGTTGCAGGATCATTTTCGCGAACAGCTGTAAATTTTAGCGCAGGGTGTCAATCTACAGTATCAAATATAGTAATGGCGATAACTGTGTTCATATCATTACAATTGTTAACGAAGCTATTATATTACACTCCTCTTGCCATACTTGCTTCGATCATCTTGTCTGCACTTCCTGGATTAATCGATTACAATGAAGCTTACCATATTTGGAAAGTTGACAAAATGGACTTCCTTGCATGCGCTGGGGCTTTCTTTGGTGTGTTATTTGCATCAGTCGAGATCGGTCTTTTAGTTGCTGTAAGATTCTTCAGAACTATTTCACATTTTTTGATATTGCAATTAAATTATCACAACCCCTTTAATTATTGGATAACGAGTTACCAAAAATGGATAATAAACTGATGGCTAAAATTCAGTATTCCTGGATTTGGTTTTGGGACGTTGAAAACAATATTAGTGTTAGTTGGACAATTAAAGATTCTTTAAACTTCTTCCACCAATTATTAATCATAATGATTAAAAAGATGACTGGATGACCTTCAATATAGTAATAAATTTTGTGGTGCATATCCTTTATAAATATTTAAGTTATATAAATTATATTCCGTCTACTTATAAAAATATTTCATTCGTGTCAAATTTTGAAGCTTTCTTGAACCACTTGTGTTATATTTATCTATATAATAGTCATGTATTATATTAGATCACATTAGCATTATAAATCTTATCTGGAACGTAACGACTTTTGTCTCAATTGGAAAATTATTGGGTGGATTAATTATATGCATGATTGGGTTCTAGATCTCTGAATTAGTTAACCTCACTATCTGATTCAAGCTAGCAGGTCTCCAATATTTTATATGCTGATCGTGTCAAGATTAGGGTTCAAGTGACGTTGTTTATTATGTCAATTTAATAAGTAAACCATGATATAGAAATACCAGTTTATCCATAACAAAGCCATGCACGATTAAAGAATCTTTTGAATATTAACATAAAAGGTTTTATAAAATTATGTGAGGATTTTAAACTACCAACAATAATAAATAATCGTGATCATCAGAATCAAGTATGTTTATGATATGCATGCAGGTTGGTGTTTCGTTTGGAAGATTAATCCTTAATTCCATCAGACCTGGCATGGAAGAATTAGGAAGGCTTCCAGGAACAGACATTTTCTGTGACAAGGCACAATATCCTGGGGTTCTTGATGTTCCAGGTGTTTTCATAATTCGCCTCAACTCTGGCTCCTTTTGTTTTGCAAATGCAAGTCCCATTAAAGAAAGGTATTGATGCCGCTTGATGCGCTCATTTTACAGGAATTTCATATATCTGTAATATGAAAGATTTGAAACTTTCCTATAGAAATACATGCTTCAATTCCCTCTTCACTTTATCGCTTGTGTTTAAGTGTTGTGTTTCATCTTGGTGTTTTGGTTCTCATGGTAGGATTACTAGATGGGCAACCAAGGAGAATGAAAAGGAAGAGGGAAACAAACCGACTAATGGAATCATTCTAGACATGTCGAGTAAGCGTTTCCATAAAATTGCCTGTCACTCATAATGTAAGTGATTAGGGTCTATATAAATTGATTTTCTCATCACTTCTGCTTCTCATGTCTCAGGTGTCATGAGCATTGACTCTTCAGGAATTATAGCATTGGAAGAAATTCACAAGAAACTCCTTTTAAGAAACATACATGTAACACCTAAAGAAACTTAATTTTTGCACATTAATTTCAAGCCCTTATATTACAATAACATTAAGTGTTTTGTGTTGTATTGTTGCAGTTAGCTATCACCAATCCAAGATGGAAAGTGATTCACAAGCTAAAACTAGCAGGGTTTGTCGACAAAGTTGGAACTGATTGTATTTTCCTCACGGTTAATGAAGCTGTTGATGCATGTCTCAGTTCCAGATCTATTGACAATTGTTTATGATACCGGATAATAGTTGAATTGAAGGACTTATCAAGCCAATCTCGTTTGTTTTATACAATAATGGTTGAGGTCTAAATATCATTAAGCACCTCGTATGTTTACAATGATGATGAATTAGGTGTGTTATATTTCTCGACATTCAGTAAGTTCCCATTCTGTGAAAGGTAATGTAATGAACTTTCATCATTTCTAGTCAAGTTATTTTGACTAGTTTATTCTTCATTCGTATTGTTATAAATATGAGGATCAGTTAATTTCTGAATTTTTTTTTAAGAATCACAAATAATTTCAATAGAACATTAGTACTTTGAAAGGTGTGGAATTTTGTTATTACCTTAAAATAAAATGGATTTGTACATTATTATAAAAATTATTCTAACAAGGTAATATCTAATATGTTATTATGTTTTGGAATTAACAAGGATTTTACATGTGTGTTGTGGTGGCAGTAATGGATTAAAAAAAATGACCGTTTTAGTAGTAGGAGTAGAAACTTAGGAGGATGTAAATTGTCAAAACACAAAAATCAAGTATCAAAGTGTAACGTCCCAAAAATAAGACCCAAAAACTTCTCATTTTTAAAATTTCTAAAATAGTACATCATCTCATTTTCATAAACCAAGGTAATCAAAGCTTTATTAATACATCATCGTTATCAGAGTAAATCACAGAATGCGAAAACATGTGATGTGTGCTCTGTAATCATCTCGAGCTCTTTGAAAACCGAAGTACCTGAAACATAAACTGAAAACCATAAGCACAAAGCTTAGTGAGTTCCCAAAATATCACATACCAAACATACTAAATCAGATACTGGGCCCCCGCCCGACATCGAGTCCCACTCGGCTTCGGGCCCCGCCCGACATCGAGCCCCGCTTGGTTTACAGATCTGTCAATCACAGGCCCCACCTGACATCAGGCCCTGCCCGATACATATAATCATATAAACATATAATCATACTAACACATGCGATAATCACAAAGACACTAGCATACCATACAGTCACCGAGCCCCGCCCGGCATCGGGCCTTGCCCGGTAAACATGTCATCACATAACACATGCAAGAGTCACGTAGACATCTAGCATCCTAACATATAAACCATGGGTTGGTATTGGTCCCCTCAACCCGCTAAACTTAGTGAGGAGACTCACCTTACACTGTCGAATCTCACATAAAGAATCTCTGGTTGCTGGTCCGCAAGAATCCTCGCGCTATCAATCACAAGTTAATCATCCATCAATAATCGGATCCGACCCACAATAAGTATCCAAACTAGGGTAAAAGGTCTTTTTACCCTCTTCATAACTTGGTCCAAAGCCAAGGCCCAATTCAACAATCCAAAAGCCCAAATTCCAATTAAACACCCACGGCCCAAATATGGCCCAATTTTCCAAATTGGGCCCAAATCCCATAGTGGGCCTTTCAAAATAATTATTAAATCCAAAACTTGATGGTCCAACAGGGCCTAAAACATTTAAGCCCAAAAGATAGCCCGAACAAACCCCAACCACCGAAATCCATTCATGCTGAGTATGCGGGGCGTACTCAGCTAGTACGCTAAGCATACTGGCTTAAGGGCTTGTACACTGCGTGTACAGGCTTGTACGCCCAGCGTACTCCTCCATTCAGCCCAATCTCATTTTTTTCCTCCTTAATCCATTAAGACAATGATCCAAAACATAGATCTGACTTCCTTGAGCTGGATAATCACGTAAAGTTGCTAACTTTACGTTCATGCATGACTAAATGAAGCTCTTAAAGCTCAAAAGGACTTATTAGGTAACTTAACGCATGCATGTGACCTTAAACCTCATAAAGCTTGCACCTTTATGCCTAAGAACCTCATAACAACTCAGATCTAATAGAATAAGTCCTTGAAACACCTTAATTCATTAATCAACCCAAAAAGGAACCCAAGAGCATGAAAATCAAGACAATAATAGATCTAAGCTTTAACAAGTCAAGATTTGAACTTGATACCTCTAAGAGCTTGCAAGGTGATGAATGATTGTGGATCTCTAAGTTCCCCACCAAGCTATGAACCTTCATCCTTCTTCAAACTCTTCAAAATGAGCAAAACAACACCCAATTCTCCTTAAGAGCTCAAATGCACATTAATGGAGGTTAAGGGTCAATTTGAGGGTTTTAGGAGGTTTAGGGGCTGGTAAAGAGGCCATCCCTAAAGACTTAAGATGCTTAAATAGGGTACACACATTTAAAATGAGGGTTTCTTGCACCCCTCGTACACCCAAAGTACTCCTCGTACGCCCAGCGTACGAGGACGAGGCTTCACGATCCTTCCCACTTGGTACGCTAAGTATACAAAAGTGTACGCCCAACGTACTACACTTCGCATCAGTACGCCCCGCGTAATCCCTATGTAAGCCCCGCGTACTAGGGTTTCCTCTTAAACCCTAAAATACTCCGAAGGCCATAACTTCTCGCTATAAATTTGATTCCGACGATCCTTATATCCACGAAAAGGTAACGAGAAGCTCTATGCTATTATCAACTCATTCCTACCGTAAAGTTTCCCGAACAAGAATCCAATTTCCAATAAAGTTTGTGCTAACATATTACCAAAATACCATTTGGCTCCAAAACACAAAACCGAACACTGGATCATCTAAATTGCATCATCCACCTCCAAATGAGTCCAGATCTCAATTCATCAAGGGTCCTAAGTCTGCTAATACCCAATCCTTGATCACCATCCTGAATTGGGAAACGATTCAGAACAGGGTGTTACAACTCTCCCCCACTTAAATTAGATTTCGTCCTCGAAATCATTCCTTACCATCCCCGGCATGCCAGACCACCTGAGCAAAACGACCACAACCCCGAGCATACTACTGTTGGATAAGGTGTCTAAATCCATAACTTATTTGGTATATACTTGACCCGACCCGGCATGGTCCATTTGGGTTGCACTTCACCCAAACTGTTTATGGATAATTTTATGAGAATTGTATACTTACGATTTATTAATATATTATAAGTTATAATATATTAATATAAAGTCATGTTATTTAATTAGTTTTAATCTTGAATTAATTATGAATTAATTTAGTGATTAAAAGGAAGACTAATTAAATCATGGGCTATTATATTTATATGGTGTGGGCTAATACTCATTTGTTAATGGGCTAAGCTTATATGGAAGTCCATGGATGATCCATGAAGCTTTTAACCCATGGATCCTTGGAAAGGAAAAGACATGGGTTATTAGGGTTTCACCCTAACCATGCACACTATATAAACAAGCTCATGTTGCATGAAATAACACCCTAGTGTGTGTGTAATAGTGGTGGCCGATTTCTAAGTGTTAGTATACTCTCTCATACATTTTCCAAGTTTGTGGTGATTTGTGATTTCCATTTGAGGCATTCACATTATTGGTGCTTGGCTCTCAAACTCCAAGGAATCAACAATCAACAAAAGGTATGTAATTCATCTAGTCCTTTTATGTTTAAAAGTACCCCATGCCATGCTAGATAGGTTATAAACCTTGGAAAATAATATTTTGCATGTACCTTAGACAAACATAGATCCAAGGTTTATTAGGGTTGCATGTACACTTAGGAAGTGTTAGAATGCTCAAAACCCAACAGTGGTATCAGAGCCTAGGCTTGTTTGTTTGATACTTGATGCAAAATAGTGATAAAAAGTCGATTTTTTGCTGTCTGACTGATGAACTCGCCGAGTCCATGGGGGGACTCGCCGAGTTCATGTGTAAACTCATCCTACTCGCCGAGTAGGTTCGTGCACTCGGCGAGTAGGAGCCTCAGAATGCAGATTTTCGACTTTTGCTGCTGGAAATGGACTAGAAACATTACCCTAAACTGTTTTGGTGTTTTAAAACTTGTTTTAGTTGGTGTAATGGTAGTTCTAATCCATTTACAATAGCTTATATCAAAATTTCATGCTTTGTATGTGTTCATATAATTCTTGAAACTTTGATGATCATGTTCATGTTCTTATGAATTTAGAAGATGATAGGAATTATTTGCTGAATTGTTTAGGATTAATTCTTGATCATTTATGTGTTTTAATGGAGTCCATAATTTGTCCTCAAGTTATGGATATCCAAAGGTCACTTCTTTTAAACACACACTTAAAACACATAAGTTACATAAAATGAAGAGTCTTCATTTTTATGAACCTTTAATTCATAAGTTATGAAATGAAAAGTTTTGGATAGTTACAAAACTTGCCCTCAAGTTTTGGAATTTGTAAAGTTTCACACACTTTAATAAACTTTAATTCCAACCCTTAGAGTTTTAAAAGTTAAAATTCAACCCTTATACTATTTATAACATTAATGGTTAATTATTATATATATGTATAAGATCAAGTCGTTTTACCGTTAGTAGGCCTCATTCACGAAGCCGGTCTATAAGGGGGGTATAAGGTTGTTGCCTATAAAATGGCAACTTAATGGGTGTCCATTCTCACCCACCGCTTCCTTGATCGGTGGAGGGTCGTTAGCCGAACGGGTAGGACAATGACTTTAAATTCTCATTAAAAGTATAATGAATATTATAAAGTAACTAAACCTTTTATAAATTCCCAATCTTAGTTACTTTAGGAAAATGTGAATATGGTGCTAACCCATGAAATTCACACTTTGTACCTTACCAAGTCGTTGGTGGAGCGTGTGTGGTTAACCGGCACACTAACTTGGACTAGTAAGGATCACGAAGGGTGACTTAATGTTTATCATAGATCGGTGGAGCGTGTGTGGTTAACCGGCACATCGATTAGGTGATAATATTAAGGGTACCAAGTGAGTTTGCATGGTTATTCACACCTTGTTTTGTGATCCTCGGCATCCCAGTCACAAAACCTGAAGGGCACAATCGAGATTGAAACATGCCATTGAAAAGTTCAATGAATCTCAAAAGATCTAGGAGTTTCAAATCCAATTAAAACCTAATAAATTATTTCGTTTTTCATGGTGGAAATTGGTGAATCGTCATTCACCTACCTTCAAATATTTTATAGCTTGGATTACGGCATCCCTCTTCCAAGTTATAAAATATTGTGTTGGGTCCTAGCCTTAATATTTCATATTGGGTGTTATATTAAGGACTTGAATCAACTAACTTGATTTTCTCCCATTGTAGATGTCTGGTTCAGACAACTATGATCTTCCCAAATCGCTTGAAACAAGCTTTCCTCTTGAAGATGATGTCCCTCAACATCATGCTTCACTCCCCCCACCTCCTCCATTTATTCTCCCTGACCCACAAGCCCAAAG